TGTTTTGACATGCTCGATGACAGCGTCAGTGGCAAGTGAAATTTTCAATTGCCAAACATGTTGCATGCGGCCGACACACGGGAAGAAAAATGTGTGCAGAAATCAGGAGAAATTCTTTAATTTAGGTAAAAATTAATATAGATATTAAATATTAAAATCAAGATTTCCTTTAGCTAAAAATATTTAATTTATACATTTAAGTAAATACAAAAAAGTGGAATTTCAAGGAAATAGTTACCTTTTATCACATTCAAAGTAACTTAAATAAATATTTGTATACAATTTGAATACTCTGTTAATTCTCTGTATTTCAAAACCATTTTTAAAAGTATTATCTAAATATTTAATTAATAAAAAATACAATTAAATTGCTATCACATACTTTTAGAAGCGCAATTTGCCTTAAAATACCACAAAATGTGTTATTTTCCCTACCTCTTATTAATAAAGCCATACAAAAATTCTAAATAATATTAAATAAATCAAGTATTCTTATTTCAATAATGCTCTTTAGCAAAAAATCTCTAGTTTTTCAAAAAGATTAACCTTTAAAAACCCATTCAAGCTGCAAAGGAATGCGCATTCTGTCGCTGAAATGAGCATTCAATATGCAAATTTTTATATTAATTTATATTTAATCGGTTTTTAGTGCTGCAACGGCTGCACACAAATGATGCCATCAGTCGGGGGATTGAGTTATTCGGGAGGGAGGAGGAACGCGGTGGTTCACTGAATGCAATCATAAATAAACAGCACGCATCTAGCATACTTGCATGTAAATAAGGGGGGCAACAACAACAATGCGCCGTCACAACAGGCTTTCCATTTTCCACACTCCATGCTCCTCCACCTCGTCCCTGCTGTTGTCATCGTAATTTAACATTTTTCCTTCAACTTGCATCGTCTGCGGCATGCATCACTCACTCACTTAGCATGGCCCTTCCTTTACGACCTTGGCTAATACTGAGGGGAAAAGTGTTTAAATTTTACAAATATTAAAAACAATATAAAAGAATATATGTATTTAGAAATTCTGAAGTAAATTTCAGCTTGTTTTTCCTTGGAGTAAAGGTATATAGATATTTATATTTTCTTTTCTTCAACTTTATGATTTCCTTTGAATTTTTTATACTTTTACTTCAAGTATAAAGGTTCTCCACTTTTTTTCCAAGTGCATTAAAAATTGCATTTCCAAGCGGACTCCGCGCTGATGAGCTCTGTGCATTGCACACTCCGTGGCACAGTCTGCCAACCTGCCACGGGCACCGCCCATCAGTTATTTGTCTCGCGTGGCATTGTTTGTCTTGCGAGTTTGGAGCTGCAAGCTTGCTGGCTGCCTCATTTGCCGCTGCCGCTTTAATGTGTGGGTAAATGCGACAAAATCAAGTTAACTGCCGGCATTAACGCACATGCATGCAGTCAGCCAGACAGCCAGCCAGCTAGCGAGCGAGCGAAACTTTCAACGCGACTTTGCCAACTAACTGAGTTTGCAGCGCAAATGAAATTTGCCAAAATGTCAGCCCCCCTAGCCCGACATCAAATTACGGCGCCATCAGAAGGATTTTAAATCAATTGGAGGCGAGGCTGCGTGACAAATAAACCTAAGCGGAACGACCACACTGCGTATGCGCAATCAGGACATGCGGCCACTGCTCCTTCTCTTGGTGCTCCTGCTGCTGCTCCTGCTGCTGCTTCTGCTCAGGCTGAAGCGATTAGGACGGGCGACCATCACACGACCACGACCCTTTGTGTGGGGCATTATCTGCGTGGCCACTTGAGCGAGTCAAAAGGGGCACTTTGATCTGTGCGCCCCAAACCCCGTCTTGCACCTGAGACTTAGAACCAATTCGACACGGTGAAAAATAAACCAGAGCATTTTCAAAAGAAAATCAGAAAATTCAAATTGAGAAAGATCAATAAAGGCATTCCTTAAGTATCCTTTTGATTTATGTTAAGCCCTTGTTTATAGATATATATTATGTTTAGAATATATCTATGTATTTACTACACATTTTCACGCACAGTGCTGTCTTGATTGCCTTTGGCCATCAGGCTCTTCATGTTGTGGTCACTAAGCAATGGATGTGGACACCTGATTGAGGGCCCAATCTCACTTGAAGTTTGCATTTGGCCATAATGGCGGATGCTGCTAATGCACTGATTAGTCCGATGCACACTGGCACAGGTGGACGGGGGTCGTCTCCTTTGAGTTCGATGCGAGAGTATTTCCAATAATTAAACAATCCGTACAGTGCTCCCTCCCCCCATCCCCACTTGAGTCCATTGAATCGATTCGAATCGCATCGAATGCGAATTGAATTCAATGGAGATTTTGGTCAGGAACAGGACAAGAGAGGGTTAAGGACCTCAAGTGAGTGGCATGTTGCACTTTAACCGGATTCTGCCCCCGGGATGGGTGGATGCATAGAGTAGCCTGACTATCCGATGGCCACACACTTTTTTTCCCCCGGTTGGTAGAAATCAATTTATGCCTGGCCAACGTTTGAACAATTTCTGTTTCTGTTTCGGTTTGGGTTTCCGTTTCTGTTTCGCTTTGTGCAATTGACGGGCCAATAATTAAGCCAGGGTGCTGGGGAAAACGCTTGGAAAAACGCTTGAAAAGAGCATGAAAAAAAAGAAGGATGTTAACTAACCAAAGGGGCGGTAAAAAATAGTGAAGAAGTTGAAAATGGTATATATTTTAGCTTAAATTTTATTTAATTTGGAGATTTTCCTAAAAAGAAAAACCAATGCAGGTAATATCTGTCTGCGCCGGTTATTTGGATTTTACTTTACGACGCCGTCGCCGTTGCAAAGTCAATTTCCTTGCTGATTTAAATTTCAAAGCAAATGACAGAAGGTGTTGCTGCGCTGCCGCAAACTGGATTAAATTTCGTTTAAAATGTAAATGGAAAAGCGTGATAGACAGGTTGGGCTTGTCTTTTGAATCATATCCAAATTTCGTTTACGCCGGTGAAAACATCAAAAAAAGCGTTAAAGAAAAACGCAGGAAAAACTAAACAAACACCTCATCAAAGAACATCAAAGACCGCCCAAAAGGAAAAAAAAAAATGGAAACCCAGGGCCCAGGAAAACCCCAAACAATAACCGGCTGAGGGGAGGAAAATCAAAAACGAAAAAGAAACGTGGGACGAAGAAAGGAAAAACATTTTGGTGTGCACAACGCAGAAAATAAAATCAAGAATTTCACACCTTATCAATTTTGTAAGATTAACAAAACGAACAATGGGGTGGGCGGCTCAACCACCACCACCACCACTACCCAGTCACATTTTAGTCGTGGAAATTGCATCATCAACGTCCTTGCCACAGTGTGATCGACATCATCATCATCATCACCATCATCGTCATCCTACAGATGCAGGAAAGCCACCGTCGCCGCACTTTGTCATTAAGGAAGTCAAAAACTTCGACCCCCAATCCGGCAGCTGTAGAAATGGAGAACAGGAGAAATGGGGGTGGCTTCTCTCTCCGGAAAGCCCGAAGAAATGTGGAGAAAGCCAGAGAGGGGAGCCAGAGGGGGAGATTGGTTTGGCTTTGTGTGACAGCCACGTTGACATTTATTTTGATTTCAGTTTCGAGTGCAGGACCTAAGTGGGTGAACTTTCTATTTCCCCGCTTCTGTTATCCACTCCAACCTGTTTACCAACTCCAGCCCAGCGATACACTAAGCGAAAAATATAGGGAAAAGGTAGCTGAAGATAAAAAAAGCAAAGTTTAAGTTTAAGTTGAATTTAATTTCAAATCTATATATAAAATATCAAATTTATTTTAAAATCATTTAATGATTACATTTTTCTTAAGTGTATCCATGCTAATGTGCATCTTGGCTTAGCTTTTCTCACTCAAGGGATGGCCTTTTTTCTTGCTGTCGCTGCCACTAAATTGAATTTTATGTGGCGGATGCCAACTTTGATGTGTGCGTTTATTAATGGTTGCTGGGAACTGTCAGCCGGGCCAACTGGGTGAGGGAGTGGGAGCGGGAGTGTCGCCTAAATGGGGTCTAAATCAGCTCTGATAGAGCGCAGACTTTACGGTAATTGCAGCAGCACAAACAGGGGGCGAAAACCCGCTGGCCGGGATATGGCGGCAATGTGGATTCGATGAAATATGACCCGCAAAAATGCCTCGCACAAGCAACGCCTCAAAATGCCAGCAATGTCCTGTCCGGCTGCCCAGCTGCCTGGCGGACCAGCGGCTGCAAAAGTCCGGCCATCGAGCAGCTTGAAATTCCATGCATAACTTGTAGCAGCAACGAGCAGACGAGCATATGTAAAAAGCGGAGCCAGCCAGCGACACATACTCTAAGTACACACGAACACACATAGCTGGCGGGTTTCCATGACATAAAAAAAAGGAGAAAATCGTCGGGTAGCAAGAAAAAAAAAAAATGAGAATGGAAAATCTAGCCCAGCCAAGTCTCTAAATTGTGTGGCCCTAAAAGTGTCCGGCGGCACATAATGCTCAGAGTACAAGCACTCGAAAAAAAGGGTATGTGAAGGGTACTATATATTAAAATTAAATGGGTCATAAGGTAAACTATATAAATTTAAAAAAATATAAAAATAGTCTTTTTCGCCTTCTGGAATTTCCTTGCCTCAGAAGACTTTCCTAGAAAGAGGCAACATATAATCCTTAAGCCTATCTAAAGCATATCTGTTCTTCCCTTTAAATAAACCTAAACTTCTAAGACATTCTCACAGTGTATTCCCACACACACACAAATCTGTCTGTGTCCTTGCCACATGCAACGTCTGATGCTACTGCTGCTTCTGTTGCCCAATGGCCGCAAGGAATTTCACACAATTGCTAGAAAAATTGCAGAAAATTGAAAATGTGCGAGAGCGCATAAATTTTTACTGCGTCACTTGTGAATGCTAAATTGTTGTTATTTATGTGGGCACTGTAAAAGCCAAGGTCCGCCTCTTGCCTACCCCTTTCTCTCAACTCTCGAATAAAATCAAATCTCTAAGAGCGTCTAAGACACAAATCGATTTCATTTTGCACATTGCAAATGCCAACAAGGAGTTTTCTTACCGACTTCAGAGTGACAGCAAAATGAAGATGGTAAGAAAAATCCCTGCAGTATCTCAGGGTCACTGGGACGGCGACGAAAATACAATAAAACTCGACGATTTTAGACAATTTTCACAACACTCCCCGCTTGAGGACATGCAATCCGGCGTGGGCGAGAAGTCGGAAGAAGTTGAAGCCATAATGCGACATCGAGGAGACGATCAGCAGGCCGACTCCAAGGGATATGGCCCCCTGTTCGAAGCCACCAATCCAGTTGGCCAATTTCAAGCCCGACTGCTTCCTCTCCAGCTCCATTTGCATCTCGGCCTCGCGCTCCTGGCAACTCTGTCCGTACAGCATCAGATACGATATTTGCATTGTTTCCGCCTCCCGGATTAGGACATGCTTCTTATCCGGACTGGTCTCGTTGTCGCGGAACACGAACTCCACCACGGCCACGCAACGCAGGATGGAGCCACACCGGGAGCCACCCAAGCCGGCCTGGGGCTTGCTCCTAGCCAGGGCCTCGTTCACGTTGCTGGTCAGCTCGAGGCACTTGCCATCCAACAGGTACTGGTCGTTCAGCAGCGAGTACATCTTCTCCAGCTTGCAGCCGTAGAAACCGAGTCGTACGGACTCCATGTGGTTCCGGCGGAGACGGAAATAGGCCTCAGCCCTGGCATTTCCCCTCCCCATTCGCACCTGAAAGATCTGCGTGGGTGCCCGCTGCGGAGCGGGCATGCCCAGGTGGGCGTACAGCTCTGGGAACTCGCAGGGACGCAGCGAGCTCAGGGACACGCGATCGCCCTGCTCCACCAAAACGTCAGTCAACAGGCGGCACACATTGGGGGAGCAGGACGAGTAATTGCAGTGCATGAGCTCGTGGTTCAGGATGCACAGTGGGGGAACATCGCTCAGAGTGTGGCACAGATGATCTATGCTGGCCCAGTGCTGGGGAAAGGGTTTCAGCCTGCTCCGATAGCGATAGCTCATGGTGGCGGCTGCGAAAATCGACATTAGCGCCTCACAGCCCAGCAGATCCTGCTGCAGGCGCTCGTGGATCAGGTACAGAGCCTTCAAGTCCACCGGATTTGGCATCGATTCCAGGGACAGAGAGTGCGGCAGGAGCATCTGCAAGCGACGCCAGCTGATCCGCTTCACTGAACCCTTACATCGTGGCTGCACCATCAAAATCGTCATTTTCACAGGTGCGAGGACCTCAATAATTTCCCTTCAGAAACTGAAATTTTGAAACTGTTTCGCTGAGTTTTTGGCACAAGCCGTAGGGCATCCCCAGATGGCAGGCCGGACTGGTTGCAGGAGATTGGATTTCGTCCTAGTCAGGCACTGACAAAAACAAATCACGATGCCTTTTGGCAATCTCTCTTTTGAATTTCAAAAATATAAATCTGTAATTTTTGCAAATAATTTACACTGACATTAAAATCTGTAATAGCTACGAAACAGGTGGGAATTTATATCTATTAATATTTTCTTCGAGTGCAGGCATAGTAACAGTTGGCAAGTGTGTGAGCTGCCTGGGCTGCCTCGTTGGTCTGTAATTGATTAATGGGGCCTGCTGTCGAATGCCTGATGCCTGCTGTCTGCCACTTGATGGCTGACGCTCACCTTATGCCTGTTTCAGTTTCAGCCACCAGACAGGCAGGAGGCCCCCTGCTAAACAGGGGTGACTTCACCCGAGACGATCTCTAGCCCGACCTCGACCTCGGACGAACCACCACTTCCAAACCAGCTGCCCTGGTTGGCGTGGAACGGGGTCCGAGTTGCATCATAGCTACGCAGTTAATTGGATACTTTTTCAATACTTTTATCTCCGGCAGCAACCCCGAAAACGCCTGGAACTCTCCACCTGCCGCAGCATGCGTAATTTATTGATATACTCCCGCTAAATTATGAGTCTCCTGGGGGGCGCGAGAACCAAATACATATATATTTTTCCTTTTTTTGTGTGTGTTTTCCCCACCCTCCCACTGCCGAGGCTGCAGGTGTAGGTCTGTGTGGAAATCAGTTAACCGAAAAAGTTTGCAACTTTTTGCCGTGCTCGCTGCCTGTGAAATCAAAGTTGGAGTTTATTCAAATAAACGCCGACATTAAGAGAGTTGCAACTGTTGCGTTGCGTCTGTTGGAAGGCGTCTCCTGGCATTCGGCGGCATAAATCAGGACCAACAGCCGTGGCAACTTTTTTTTTTTTTTTGCTGCGCAGATAAACTTTTGACGTCATTTAACCCTCTTTTTTTTTTGGTGGAGGGCTCGGGGTGCCGGCGTTGTTATTAATATGCCCAAGTTTCTTTTGGCGTTGTCAATTCCCTGGAGGCGTTGCCGGCTAAATAATTCCAGTTGCCATCGATTTCCCGGTGTCAGGGCAAACAAATTTCTTTAAGGGATTCACTTCGTTTATTACACACTCAATAAGGGGCCGGATTTTGTATGCTTTTTGTAGCCAAATATAGAAAGTTAAACAGGGGAAATGGCCTAGGAATTCAAGGTGTCAAAGAGGCTGTAGGAATATTTGTACATTAATCATGGTCTAACTCTTTCAAATAACCTTTCCTTTGGCCTACAAAATCAGCTGCCCGTGCTAAAGTAATTACTAAAAACTAGAGATGGATAAATACGACTTTACGGACTCCACAATCCTTTCCACATATATGCCGTTGTTGTGCAGGACAAATAGTAGATTTCGCAGAGGCAGCGAGTTCTGAAATGCGAAAAATAAGACTTGAATCAGTGCGGCGAAATCAATTATCACAAACACTCTGCTCCATCGAATTGCTGATAAATATATATGTTTTAAGAGGAGGGGGGGACATGGGGAAAATAAATATAAATTGCCTGCCGGCTGGCGATTTGATTTCATAAATATGTGCCTCACGTAGGCCAGCTCAATTGCCAATTAGAAGCGAGGCGAAAGGCAAAAAAAAAAAGAAGAAAAAACAGCGGTAAAAGCGGCAGGAAAAATAATAAAAAGAAAAGGCCTTGGCGGTGGCACTTGAAAATTCGAAGGCATCAACGGAAGTTGATTTGTATACGGAATCGCATATAAAAGTTGCCCACTTTTAACCTGCACCTTTCGCCAAGGAAACTCAATAAAGCAATCCGGAATTTTTCTCACGTCCCGCTAGGAAATTATTATGGAGCTGCCAGAGTCAAAGAAGGCGGCCATTTCAAATGGAATTCTTTAAACAATTTTCCACAGCACACATACAGCACATAGTCTCAGCGAGAAGCCGAACAAACAAAGCGTGTCCCCAAACCGAAATACAATTATGTACACCACATGCGATGTGGAGGATTTTCCGGGTTTCCGGGACTCACCTGAAGACCGTTCAGAATTTTGGGAAACTTGGCACTGCTGATGCTGTCGACGACCGCTGCGAACTGTTTGTTGCTCTCGAATTCATCAAAGAAGAGCGCCCACAGTTGGTCCTGCGGCAGGATCTCGAGGACATTGTCCACCATGCCATGCAGGCCGCTCAATGGCTCCCGGGTGGTGGTGGAGCTGCCCTCCTCATTGGTTATGGATTTGGGTGGCACTGCACAGGGAAAATCATTTTTAAATAGCAAATAAATATTAAATAATTAAAATAAACTAAAAATACTCCAAAATATTACTCATACGCACCGTTGACGGTGATAGATTCCAATATTTCCGGCTTAAACACATCTGCCACTGACTGAATTGCCTTGACCACATCCAAGCCCTGGGCACCGAGGTAATCCGTCAACTCCAAGACCTCTGGCAGCTGCAGAATCTTTCGCTTGATATCCGCAAAATCTCTGCTAGCCAGGAAGGCATACGCCCTCTGGAACTCCGCATCGTGGTGGTAATAATGGGCAGCTATGGACTGCACTTCACGCAATGGAATCAAAGCAATAAAGCCGCTCAAGTCGACGGTTTGGTTGACGGGATTCGGCTTCTTTCGACTCAGAAAGATCAGATCGTCGGAGGCATTGGCCTGACCATCGCTCTCATCGCTCTCCTCGCTGGCGGATTCACCGAGCTTCACGAATCCAATGCCACTCAAGTCCGTCTCGGCACTCTCCTCATCGTTCGAGAAATTCGGCAGAGCCACCGTGGACGTGATGCAGACCAGCAAAAGTAACAGTTGTTGGCGATTCATGTTCCGGTCCGATCCGATGCGATCTCCTATCCAGATTTAGAGCTTCTGGCTGCCTCTTCCCACGGTCTCTGTTGTCTGCCCCCCTATTTTTGTGGAGACTTTGGAGACTGCCCTGACCCATGATCGTTGTGTTCGCGGCGATTATTTAATTGAATCAGTGGCATTCAACAAAAAACCCACCCTCACTGAAGAGCGAGGGCTGCCTCAATGGTTGGAAAATGTGATTGCATTTGAAAAATATATGGAAAATAATGATTCAAGTACAAACTGCAAGTTACGATTGAAAAAATTCCTCTACAAAATATTAAATTGATTTAAGTAAGAAGCAACCCATTTCTTTCAAGTGTATTCCCCATATAGCTGGAAGTAAATAAAATATTGATTTATATGGCCTATCGTTGGCTTCGATTAGGCCATAAAACATGCACATCGGATTGCCGCCTCGGCCTCGTAAATTATAGGCTGAATAGGCGGTTTTCCTGTCCGCCGTTTTGGCCAACTGCATTTCCGCCGATGCAAATCAAAGAAAATCACACACACACTGCGGGTGTGCGTGTGATATTCACACTTTGACAGCTGGCTGGAGTGTCACTCGGTTAGTCACTGTACGTGTCAGTCAGTCATTCAGTCCGTCAGTCAGGCGCTCATTCAGGTCTCGTTTCCAGCTCGTTCGCTTGTCAAACTGTGCATAAAATATGTACATGCATATGTCTCCACACATACACACTCACAGCACAGCTCACTTGATATATTCATTTGCTCATTCAGCAAGTTAAGTAGGAATAAAATTGTCAATTTTCATGTCATTATTTCATGTCGTCGTCGCCGTTTGCCGTTCACTTTCGCATGTGTCAACTGTGACACTCTCCACTCTCGCATACTGGAATTCCGGATGGTCTATGGGTGTGTGTGGTGTGTGTGTATGCTTTCAGATATGATTTATTCACTTGGTTTGATTTATTACAAGCCCACAGCTCAGAGAGCCCACAGAGCTTGTAAATTGTTCTGCCTACAAACCAATAATTGTATCGTTGTCAACGTCACCGGGTACCCTCAGAACTTTAGTTGCGCCGCAATTTTTTACATAAATTATTTGACTAAGCCCCCAACTTGATTAAAACTTGGCCTAGACGATATAACCGGAACGAGAACGGAATTGAGTATGGGAACGAGAAGTCTCAGGTTCGCCGTAACGTAACGTATGACACTTTATAAATTTGGAGCGCAAAGTTTCGAGGGTGCAAACTTTGCCGGGGTCGGTTTTTGGAGCCGTAAACAATTGCTAGGGCAAGTTATCCTGCACTGAAATAAAGTATTCTTATTTAGTTTTTAAATTAACAAACTCTTTGGAAGTTTAACAATTAGTTTCCTAGAAAATAAAGTATTTAAAATAAAGCTTACGGAAGTCATAAGGGAAAAAAATTACTAAAGAAAAGCTTGAAATGTTCGTAATGTCTAGAATCAGTTGGGAATTATAAAGCTATATACATATATACCCTTGCAGGGTATTATAATTTCAGTCAGAAGTTTGCAACGCAGTGAAGAAGACGTTTCCGACCCCATAACCCATATATATTCTTGATCAGCATCAACAGGGGAATCTTTCTAGATAAGTCAGGAAGAAATCGATTTTTTGGCCATTTTTGAAAAATTTTATAAGGGGTTAGTTACATCATTAAAATTTTTAATTTTGATAAAAAATTAAATTTGCAAAATTTTTAAATGAAAAATGCAGATTTATTAACTGTAGAAAATCTTGCACAGAACAGTTTTCCGATTTAAAATTAATGCTCTTTTGGCCGAGTTATGATATTTTTAATTTTAAAAAAATCAAGAAGTTTTTTAATATAAAAAATCGGATTTTATAATACAAAATAATATTTTTCTAAGTCAAGGAATCATTTCCGACCCCAGAATCAATGGGGAATTTAAAGCTTTATTCGTGTATTAATTTATTTTTCTACAATAATTTTCTTAACTATTAATTTTGTTGATTTTAAGTGGAAAGTTTGAGTGTCTTTTAATTATTTTAAATTATATTACTTGCGCTGGCTATCCTGTCCCTGCTGTGGTAATAAAGCAACCATATAATATTTCTGCAGGTGTATCAGGCGGACCGAACTTATAAATTAATTTCGCCACAGCAGAATACTTCAGCGAGCTGCTGGCATACCTCAGCTGCCATAAAGGTGGCGGCGGCGGCCCAAGTTGCCGGTTGCCGGCGACTTAATTAACTGCAGTCCGGCAAAGTCAGCGGTACACACGCACCTGAGACCCGGAGACCTGAGAAGGACAGGCAGGACCTTTCCTGGCTCAGACGCTGGGCTGCATACTTTCAGGGCGTCGTCGCAGTAGTTAATTTCATGCTGCCTGGCTTTAACCCCAGCCCCGGCACCGAATACGACCTCACCCCCCCGTTGGCCATGTGTTTTAAAGTGATTTTCCTTGGGCCAGGCGGCCCTTTTGTTTATGTTGCGGCATAAGAGCTCCAGTTTACCGCAAGTGTCAACATTTATTTCCAACTTAACACTTTTGGCGTAACATGGCGCTTAATCCGCAGCGCCAAGTCGAGCCGCGCCAAGAACTTGACTAATTTTGTGCAAAGTTCAGCATTAACATTACCGCAAATTAGCAAAAGTTTTCGCACAAACAGCCGCAGCGCAGGAAAACAAAAAAAAAAAAAACTGGGAGGCTCAGCAAATGGGGAGGAGCAAATCCGATTGCAGGGATTGCAAGACGGAAAAGCTGAGGAAAAACCCCAGTAGAAGAAGAAAAGTCGAGAGAATCGGGCTGCAGGGGGCACTCTCTGAGTTGTGGCATCAGCAGACGGTGCCTGTAGTATCTGGGATGGTTCACTGACTGCCATAAATTAACTTGTCTAGGCCCGATTCCTTGCCAGGACTTCGGCCTGTCCCCAAGAACTTCTTTGCCAGATTCGGCTGCTCGCCTTGTAATCTGTTTCACACTTAATGTTTTCTGCTTTCGCAGTTTGATTTCGGCTTTAATTGAACGTATAATTTTGGTTTTAATTACACACAAAAATGTATATTGAAACGGCAATAAATTACAAGTTTAAAGCATGAGAGATTTATTATGAATTAATTATTAATGGATGGGCTTAGTGTAACAGCAAAACTAGGATTATTTAGAGGTGTATATAAAATAAATAATATTTAAAAGGTATTTTGTAAAATAAAACAACAAGACCTTGACAATTTTTATGAAATTATAGGTAAAATAATACAATTCTGTTACTAAAATTAAACAGAAGCTACAAGTTCAATCATTTCTCCTAATAAATATTTATAATTTTACTTGTAAAGACCCCATTTCAATAATAAATAAATATATCTTTAGATTGTGGTTTCCCCCACTCCCACAGATTACCATCGATATTGCTTATTTAATGGCGGGACAGATCAATCGATATATGCCTTATCCACGCCGACTTGTTCCCCGTCAGTTGTCAATCAATTTTCGGGGGTTTTTGGCTTTGATTTCCATTTGCCCCGGCTCTCCCCCGGCTATGGATGAAGGATGTCACTAAACCATAACAAAAACAGAAATTATGTCCTTACACACAGGTCACCGGCACGACGAGTGGCTGGCCGTGCACAACCTTCAATCAATCGAGAGTCTGTCAAGTGGATTGGAGGTGGTGTTTTAGGAGCCACGGCTCGGAATCGGACTCGGCCCCATCCTTTGGAGAGTCGTTGGTCGTTCCAGCGCTTTTGACACGTTTGGCAAATATTTGAGCACGTCTAAAAGCGCGTTACGGTCTCCGGCAGGCGTTCAATATTTCCCGAGCGAGCGCAGCCTCAGATGACCGCTTTTCCTCTTGGCTTTCCCGACTCCCCTACCGCCTACCGAATTTTGTACCCGATTTTTGCTCCCTCCCCACCATCGGCATCGCGTGGCAGTGCGTGCTTTGCCCTTGGCCAGTGGCTTAATTAATTTTCGCTTCCGTTAACAATTTTTATGCGGACTTGGCTCCTTGGAAGCGTTTCGCATGCGCTGATTTCGTGTTTATGGCTCCTTTAATTCGCCACTAATGCGGGTCCGTTTGCGGCGGAATTATTTGCCGGATACATGCGATTAGTTTTGGCCAGATTGCGAATAGTTTTTGCCCTCATTGGTCTCTTTTTTTTTTCTTTTGCAGGCATGCAACAAGTTAATTACATAATTCAGACCGCCCACGCCTGCACTCGCTCTTGATATTTATGTCAGGCCGAAGGCCGAAGGGATTTTCCCAATAAACACCACATGCTGCCAATGTTAAATTCCGGTTAAACACCGCCAGCAGCAGCAGCAGCAGGGCTAGGAACTTGGCCAAAAGAAAAATAACACAAAATAAAATTAAATAAAATAAAATAGGAAATGCCATCCAGCAGGAGGGGAAAAAAATAAAATAAAACGAAAGAAGAGACTTAAAAAATAAGCTAAAAGTCTTTTGAAGTTGCCAAAGTAAAAGGGCAGGGGAGGCAAATGGAATCGAGGATGGGAAAATGGAGGCAAACAGCGCGATATAAAGTTGGGGCTTTTTGGCTTTGACGCACGTAGCTCCCGATTTGAAAGTTTGTCGTGTGTGCCCCCGTATATATACTCGCTTTTTTTTGCGCGTATATCAGAGAGTGTATAGGAACAACAAGGATTCGACAGTGTAGCCACTTCTCCCGCGGTCCTTTCCTGCTCCGCTGCTGCTGCCGTTTGCTGCAACGCTTTTATTAAGCTTATACATTTTTTATTTAAGACTTTTCACTTTGAGCCGTTTGCTGCAAGCCTCGGGGCCAATGGCAAACAGACGACATGAATGTGACATTTATTTGAGTTGTGCCAGGAGCATTTCAATTTCACATTATATCCGAACAGCCCGCCAATGCCAACCCGTTGAGGCCATAAATTATCGAAATCGTTAATGCCAGGAATTGTGAAATAGTGTGACAATTTCATTAAATGCCCAGAGCGTCAGAGCGTCGAGTCTGCTGCACAAAAATAAAATACAAAATTTCAATAAAATGGCCACGGACATGCGAGCCGAAAACATTTGATAAAGTGCAACAATTTCCCCCAGGGCTGACCGCCTTTTTTATGGCAGATGCCCGGCCGTATTAGGTTAGCGAATATTTTAGCCGAAAATGCGACTAAATCCATACGGAGTTTATTCGATTTGATTTGTGGCCAAACTGGAGTTTTCAAACTAACAATTTCACGAATTTTCTGCATTTCAGTTAGAGATGACAGGGCATTGATAATAGCGGAAGCCATAAAAAGTTATAATTACATTATAGGTTCATAGTTTATCAGGCTAAAGAGAAAATATATTGACTTTACTTTACCAAATATATTCTGAATTATTCAAGAGACTAATGAATTGGTTTTAAGATGAAATAGATAGGTATGAGAGCTTACAATCGATATAATCCTTAGTAATATCGATCTTTAGCCAGCTCTAATTTTGATAAAAGATTCCCGGCACCACGTTGCGTATGCGTAATATGTCTGGCTATAAGACACTCTAGAAAAAAACGTCACGTGGTGCATATAAATTGCCCAGTTTTTTACATTTTTTCTATGAAACTTTTACGCCAAGGTGCAAATTACTTTTGTTCCATTTCCCTTTTGTTTGCCCACGGCGTATTTTTTGCTCTCCCTTTTCCAAATTTTCTTTTTTATATACCTATATTTTTTTTTCACCCGCTCGAAACTTGACAACTGTCAAGCATCGGAATGACCAGAGTTTTTGGCATTGCCTAAGCGTGCGTGTGAATGACCAAAAACTGGACACGGACGCACAAGTATTTATAGCAAACTCACACATGTATGCATGGTCAAAGGAAATCAATTTCCATATGCAAAACTTTTTTAGTGCACGTAGGACTGGGACTGGGACTGGGACTGGATGGCGAGAGGGAGCCGAAATCGAATTTTGTCCATAAAATATTCAAATTGTTCTGTATAAACGACGCATAAACATTCTTTGTGCAGGGGAAAAACACACCTGCAGCAGCGTGCCATTTCGATCCAGCTCTCGAATCGCATAAATTTTTATGTTCAAATGCCAAAGGCCGTAGGCAGAGGCGATCGCTTAATGTGTCCCGCGGCTGAAATTCAATTTGTAGCACATCCGTGGCCGAGAGGAAAAGGTACGACCAGCACCAGCTCCAAAAAAAAAAAGAAGAAAACATCGACCCGAGAAAACTGCAAATGGGGAAAAAGTGCAAATGTCCAACTGGCCAAGGACCAAGGAGCAAAAGAGCAAAGGAGCCAAGGACCAAAAGGAGCAAGCAGCCAAAACGAATCGATGTGAAACAAAACAGGAGGAAAAGTCTCCCCAGGAGAGAGAGAGAGAGCCCAACTGCTCCTGCTGCTACTACTTTGCTATGCGAACGATTGATTGAAAATTGATTTCATTATGAACTTGTGATGCATATTCACCCTACCAACAAGCCACCGCCCGGCCACATATCCTCCAACACCGCCCAGCATTCCCATGCAGAGTCCTGTGCGTCTCGGTAGATAATTGGATTTCGGAAGGTTGTACCGAGATCCTAGTTCGTACACCCAGAGAAACTCGGTCCATAAAAGAGAAACTACACTGGCCCTTTGACCAAGTCCTTAATATTATGTACAACTTAATAGAGAATTGCTAATAAAGTCCTTGAATTCTCCTTTTTTCCGAGTGTCTTGTGTTGTGCACTTCCACTCTTCCAATTAGTTATGGAATTTTTGCTGTATTTAAATTTTTGTATCCCCCAGTTAGTCTTGTCGGAATGTGTAAGATGAGAGGGGCCACCGGACCGGGTGGTCTCTTTGGGACGAATCCCATCCAGACACAGACCCAGGAAATTAAGCCGCTTATGGCCGGGGCCATTCGTTCCCTTTTGTTTTTTAATGCTCAGCCATGCTCTCTCCTCCTCCTGTTTCTTCCCGAAAATATTACTCAGTTGCCATTCCACTTAAGATTCCGCTGGCCAAGTGCACTTGTCCTGGCCACAAATGGCTGTGTTGTCTGTCGCGCGTATTTAGCATAAAAGGTGCGGCAGCGGCCAAGACTTCGGCGGGGTCTTGGGCTTTTGATGTTCACTCAACACTCGCTCTTAAACCTCCCTCCCCCACCATCATTGTTGATATTTTGCATCAAAATTCTGACAAACTTGTTCGCCAAACTAGGGGAGGGAGGGTAACATCGGGGGAGGGACTAGATCCAAAGCGGAAGTGGCGACATTTTAGGATGTCACTACGAGTTTGAGGTCGCCGCAAAGTGCGCAACACAATTTGCATAATACCCGGTGGGACGAATGGATGTGGATGTGGATGCGGTTGTGGATGAAGGGCAGTCGTGGATGGAGATATGCCGAATGCGGTCTCAAATTTGGTCCAGGTTTTGGGTTACAACACTGAGGGAAAATTCGTAGCCAAGAGATAGTAAAACAGGTTAATGTTCAGGCTTGTAAATATATAACTCATTATATAGTCCTTTAGCTATCATCAGAATCTCATAAATATTTAATAACTATTTTAACTTTAATTAATTATCCTTACAGTGCATGCAAATGAGCTCGAGACGAACAAGCAGGCGTTGTAATCTTCGTCACTATATAGGTTCAGGCCTGGTTGGGTCTGTAATAACGCACAAGGACAAAGTCACCTAACCGGCTATTGTTAAGCAAGACACACATACACACATATTGTCCCCCGAAAAAGGACAAGGACATCATAATGCCCCGGTCACCGAGGACGAGTCGTGAAAAGGCCGAGCAGAAGCAGAAGGCAGAGAACGCGTTGAAGTGCGGGACCGATTCCGAAAGGACCAACAGACTGGAGAACATGCCGCGCGAAATGGACTCCTTCTGGGTCACCGATACCGATGCATCCAATTGCATGCTCAAAGGTCAAGTGATGCTACGCACCGACAAGGCCAACAAGGGACTCGGCTTTACGTTCGACGAAAGGCGGGTGCTCTCCATCCACGGATTGCTTCCGGCGTCAGTTAGAACCATTGACACTCAGGTGACCTGCTGCCAGATGGTCGTGGCCGCCATGTCCAGCCCCTTGCAGAGATATACATACCTGATAACCTTGTCGCAAACGAACAGCTGGCTCTTCTACCGTTTTCTGCTGAGCAATATCGAACTCTACATGCCCATGATAGATGCCTCCAGCTATCCGCATTTGCTCGAGTACCACAAGATGCTGTTTTCGTTTGGCAAGGTCTTGTACATCACCATTAAGGATATGGGACATATGCACCAGGTGCTGAGCAATTGGCCAGTAAAGTACGTCCGCTACCTGGTGGTGAGCAATGGAGCTTCTGTCCAGAGTCTCGGGGACTTGGGTGTCAATCAGATGCCCGCCCTGACCTCCGTAATGCATCAGAATGTTGTCTACAGCGGCATTCATCCGAAATTCTGTCTCTGTGTGGTGCTGGATGTGGGCACAAACAATGAAGAACTCCTAAACGATCGGTTCTATATGGGTCTTAAGGAGCGCCGGCCGTCGAACGAACTGTACGAGAAGTTCTTTGAGGAGTTCACCCTGGCTGTTATCCGGAAGTACGGCACACATGCCTTGATCCTATGCCAGGACTTCGAGGCCCAGAAAGCCAAGAGGCAGCTGGAGATGTATCGGGAGCGCCAGTGCATCGTGGATGTGGACTTCCAGTGTATAGCCGCGTGCGCTCTCTCTGGGGTAATCGCGTGCAATAATGCCGTGAAGAGGGTGCTCTTCTCGACGAATATGATTCTGTTTTACGGGGCTGATCCCACGAATGTGGGCATGGCCCGATTGTGCATTGCCTATCTGAAGAGGGAGGGCCTCAACGAGGTCAGCGCCAGGCAGAGGATATGGTTCTGCGATGCCCAAGGACTGATTGTGATCGGCAGAGAAGGCATACCCGAGGAGCTGCTGGAATTCGCCAATTACCACGAACCCATTTTGACTTTGGTGGAGGCCATTCAGCAGTTGAAGCCGAATGTCCTGGTCGGTGGATGCTCCCAGGCAAATGTCTTTACACCCGACGTCCTCCGGGCTATGGAGCAGAGTGCCGAGCAGCCCATAATCTTCGCCCTGTCGAGACCCGCCAGTCTGGCTGAATGCACCGCCGATGCAGCCTTTGCGTACACAAAGGGGCGCTGTGTCTTCATCTCCGGGTCGAAGTTGCCTCCCATCAAGTACGCCAACAAGATGTATCAGCCGGGTTACTGCAGCAGCCACATCTTACTGCCTGGCCTAACTATGGGCGTAATGCTGGCCGGCTTCACCACCGTTCCGGACGAGACCTTCTGCGTGGCCGCGGAGCGATTGGCCCATATGGTTTGGCCGAAAGACTTGGCCATGCGGAACGTCTTCCCGCCGATGAGAAAGATTCAGTGCATCAGCCTGCATATGGCTGAGGCTGTCTTCACCTACGCCTTCCGCCGGGGCCTGGCAACGCTGTGGCCGCGACCGGAGAATCCTTTAGAGTACATCAAGTCGAAGATGTACGAATCCAACTATAATCTGCACACCAGGGAAATCTACTGCATGCAGGACCGGAAGATTGCTACCACGGAGTCCCAAAATTTCTACCAGCTTAACATTTAGAACCTGTAATTGTGTCTAGAGCATTATTAAAGGCAGCAAAGGACATTGAAAGGGGTTCTAACTGGGGGAGGTTGGGGCGCAAATTGCATGGCATATCATGTCTAATAACAGTTGTTGGCCCAGTCCGTGGCATATTGATTTCGATTCGAACCCAAGTCGGAGTGCAAGTACGCCAGCGGGCAATTAATTGCATGCAATTTTCATGTGTCAACTCATGCTGTGTGGCCGTACGTATATAACATATGTACTTAAAGAAAAGGTTTGACTTAAGGGAAATTTTAAAGTGTATTTGGAAAAATTTATAATATAATTTGTATTTTGAAATTATTTCTTTTAGTAATATAATGTAATTTAGAAGGTATTTTTGAAAGTATTTCCTTCTGTTACATAGCTTTCTGTTAATTAACCTAGTGCTGGTTAACCTCCTGTTAGTTAACCTCATTCTAGTTAACCACCTCCTGTTAAACTTTTTGTTTCTTAACCTCTTTTTAGATATAACCTACTGCTAGATAACCTATTGCTAGGTAAACACCTGTTATATTACCATAATATAGCTTCCAGATAAATAACCTCCTGCTGGTTAACTTCCTGTTAGTTACCCTTCTGTTAGTTCGTCTCCTGACGAGCATCCTGATAGTTAATGTCCTTCTAGTTAACCTCTTATTAATGAATACCTCCTGTTAGTTAAGGTCTCAAATTTGAAATTCTCATTTAAAATTCTTAAAATTAACTCTTCCCATTTTTCTGAGTGTGTGTGAGCGGGTGTTTTCAGGTGGCTCGAAATTCTCCTGTGACTGCAGTCCAAACTATCGCCATACAACAATAAAATAATTGAAACAACCACCATAAAATGGTAGAAAACACAGCCACAACAAAAATGCAGACAAATTAAATTGCCCGAACGAGTGTGTGTGTGTGTGTGTGTGTGTGACGTCTGGCTTTGACAGGTGTGCGTCTGAGCGAAAGCATGATATTCCATTCCATTTATCAATACGGCAAATGAAATGCAACCCGGCCCCGAGTGTGTGTGTGTCGGTTTCCCCTTTGTCACATTGAATTATTTGCTTAGGTTTTTTACTGCATTTCCCGGGGATCGTTTATCGGCTAGCTTTTTGGCATTGAATAGAGCGTGGCTGGAATTTTCATTAGCCACATATTTTGATAGCGCATCAGGTGCATTTGACTCTGTCTGTCCTTCCTACACTCAATCACTGGAAACATTGTCTGAGACTCAGATTTTATTTGAGATTCAATTACAAAGGAATTGTCAGGCTAGGCTGGACCCCAGGAGATGACATCGTAGCCAATTGTTTTGAGATCCTGTGCATTGATTTGATGTCCTGAGAGTTCACGAATCACGCCCTGTACGTTTGCTGTGGTCTGAAATCAAAGGGGGTTTGGGGTTAATCACTAAGAAAATAAAATAAATATTTGAAATTACAAGTTAATAACTGTTAAGGTCTTGAAAATGAGAATTGCTAGAGAAAAGCAATTAAAACAAACATTTAATTAGCTTTTATATAAATAATTATAGTTCATCATGAAATTATTGCTGGCAGGATAAGTGATTCCGTGTCTTCAAAGATTAGAAATCTTACCCAAGCTGCTTCGCATTTTGTTTTGAATTCTGGACTCCTCAGGGCCTCATAGAACTTGGCAAATATGGCACTTTTCTGGCGTTTCTCATTAATCAAAGCCACAAACCGATCTCGGGGCAAATGAGTGAGTAATTCCTGGACGAAGCTAGTAAAAGACCTCAATTTCCTTGAGTCTGAGGCTGGCTGAAGCAAGACAAAGACAAGTTCCTCGTTGATTGAATTACCAACCGATCGACGATGTCGGTTGCTGTAGTCGTGACTTTTATAATAATGATGATGTTTGTGATGATACCAATGACTTCGCCTCTTTCCCAAATTCGTGTCATTGAGGTGCACAAAATTAATCAGATCCACAACTTCGGGCAAAGACTCTATGTGCTGTTGAAACCTCTTGAAATCGGAGCTGCGCAAAAATTTTACTGCTTTGCGAAAGCCGGAATCCGTAATCATGTGCTCGGCAACGATTTCATCGATGGTGACACTTGGTATCAGTTTCTCAAAGTCTCGTAACTCGCTTATCAGTTCCGGGGAATATTTCACTGCCCTGTGATAGCGAAAATGTCCAGAAACTAGCACAACGCCCAGCAGGAGAATTTGTAAGACAAGCTCTAAGGTAGACATTATTTCTGATTTTCGGTTTATAACATTTTTTATTAATACGGTTATGCAAGGTCTTTTTCGTTCAGCGGTTTGTTTATTACTGCCTACTTGATTTTTCTGGGTTGAGATTAAATTATGTATGTCTACTGATACAAGTATGTATTGCCTGAATACCCTTAAATAAAGAGGAGGTATACACGGTTTTAAATGGGGTTTGTTGGGGGAGTTAAAAGAAAAGTTGAATATGAAACAGAAAAATATTAAAATTTGTTTACATTTAGGTTAGGTCACCTTAAATTAATTCTTAAATAATATTATTTATATTTAATAAAATAAAACATTATAATTTACTTTCAAGATATTACTACTTACCTTTTCATAAATTATTTCTAGTTTGAAAAGAGTACTCAAAAGACGACTTACATATATCAAATTTTCAGAATTTCTGATTATCGCTCTCTTTTCGCTCTCCTTCTTTTTTCGAGCTCATTGCATTCGAACTCGAATTCGACTCTGAGCCAGTACAGTTGGACTCGAAATCGTTTTCTTGGCTTCCCCTTTCTACAGTCGCCTCCCCAAATAAAAGACCACGCTCGAATTTTTTGCTTATTAAAGAATCTTATCACATTTATTTACTGCATTTTACTTTTATGTGTTTACACCTAATTTGTTTTCTTACTTTCTTTCTGTTTTTTTTTTTCTGATTTTGTTGTTTTCCGGAAATATTTCGATAGCTCGTAGACCAATCTGCGTTTGAAATTGTTCGAATGGAACCTTTAATTGGGCGAATTCGAATTATTTGTAAGCGCAAATTTTCTTTTATTGTATGAATACTTTGTAAAAGTCGTTTATCTATTTATGTATATATATATATTTATATTTACCGCGAATATTTATTTACCTTGTATTAATATTTTTACAATGAATTGTTCGTTAAGTACTCAATTAATATTAATTTTCATCTCTAATTGCCGCAATGGCAATTCGATTCATTTTTTCTGCGTGTTTTTTCCGAGTTTTCATTTGTTTTTCCTCTCTGGTTTTGCGTCTATTTGTTTATTTTTTCTTTTACTCAACATCATGTGATTGTCATACAAAACATTTCACATAATCTTTAAATTATTTACAATAAATATTCGAACGAAAAAAACTCTACTGAAGGCAACGCAAAAACATTTTTCATTCATTAAAGTTAGAAGCTCAGAGCATTAGTAGCTTTTAAATATACTTTCGAATAGTTTTTCTCCTGTGGTTTTGGTTTAGTTCATGTACAATGGCAATGCCCGTATGCAATGCTAAAATGTTTGCTTTCTTATTTTTTTGTTTTTCGTTTTGTTGGGTAAATCCTAAGATGAAAACATTAAAAATTTCGCCGAGAAAACTTGTAGAAAAATATTTCGAGTGTGTGGTGTGTGCGTGAGGTGAGAGAGTAATGCTTACGATTTGGGGATTTTCTTTTATTTAAACATTTCGGCTGCAAAATACCTATTTTGGTTTCGTGTTCGGTGAAGCGCTTAGTTTTTCCAAGATTTATTTGTTTCTATATCTTACGGCAGTTTCAATGGATTTTCCGGGTATGTGCGTGAATGGAGTTTCGGCAGTATTTAATAAAACACGTATCTATTTGCCACACCAACTTACCTAGGCTACGTTCGGGTAAGTGTAATCATGAGCATGTTGGTCTCAATGCAGTAACTTCATGTATCTATAACTATATGTCTTTATATTACGCATACGCATATCATATATATATATATGTAACTATGTATTGCTTATCGTAAACATTAGGCCAACGCACCGTCTATACAAGAGCGAGTTAATGCCGAATCGAGAATTCCAAATCAAAATCGGAGCCGAGTAAAAAACTAAATGAATGCTGATTCACTTATCGACTAAAGCCCTCCTATTTACAAATCGTCTTAAGCTATAGTTCATAGCGTTCAGATTATACATACATCTATGTATATGTACTGTGCGTCCAATGTTTCTCCCTATTTCCGGTTTGTTTTGGCTATCGTTTTAAGTTGGTTCCGTATCCGTACTTGTCTATGACCTAAACAGGGGCAGCTAGTTGTGTGTGTGTGTGTGTTTGGGTGTTTGGGTGTGTCTTACGCTAGTTTAGTCGAACAAATATTGCTAAGTAATATACAAATTCGTTTAAGATCTTCCCAACCCCAAGAGCCCGAACGAGTTCTCGGAAACCGAACTAAATCGAAATCAAAATCAAATCGTTGCGCCTCATCAGCTGTGAGCTACTCTCGTACATGTTCGTTAATACTTTTTGCCTTGGGTCAGATTCTCGCTTAGGTGGTTGCAGTTCCATCTGTGTCTGTATCTGTATCTGTTTCTGTATCTGTTTCTGTTTCTGTATCTGTATCTGTTAGATTAGATTATCCTTAACCTTAGCTCGAAGTAGAAATAGTGTCGTGAGTGTTTTCTGTGTGAGTGTAAAACCGTAATTTCCATTTGACTTATGGCAGGATCCTTTTGCTAGTAACTTTTCTCGTTTACTCCATCTTTGTATATCAGTTTAGTTAATATGTCGAAAATCATTCAGTTAGACGCTGACAACATCTCAAAAACGAAACGAAACAATGACAAAAAAAAAACGCATCGAAATTATTGGAAATATTGTCGATTTTAAAAGCTTAAAAATTTCAGTCTTTGTAGTGGTTTTTCCTTCTTTTTTTTTTGTTTTTTCCTTTTCCTTTAAGTTTTTTTCGTCGGTACTTGTCACATTTTCCACACAGATTTCTTGGGTGCTCACTCTGTTTGGTTTTGCTCCTCTGCGCCTGCAAACAAAATACAACCGAATAAAGCAGATATGTTTAGATATATACGGATATGGAAAGTGAGTCTTGGTTGTTGGAGGGAAGGCAGGGAGGACATAGTGGCAGGCTAGTGTGGGTTGTCTTACATGGGCACTCAACTTACATTTACATTTTAACTAGAAACTTTAGAAGCGAGCAAATATGGTAAGCACGAACACGAAAATGTACAATTTGCGGTGGGCGGTGGCCACGCCCTCCGACGACGACGACGACGACAGAAACTCAAAGCTGTACAAGTACGCTGGACATTTCGATTTCGGAAGGGCATCAGCGGCAGCCGGGGGGGATTGGACAAAGGACATTTTTGGTTAGATTTCGTGAGGGTCTACTGGTTATGTTGGGACTGGTGATGATGGTTTGCTGCACCGAAAAATCATTCTGGCACTCAGGAATATGTAGTTTGAAGTATTACTTTATATTTATCTTTTATATGCTTAACGAGACTCTTGGAGTCCTGCCTTAATTCAAGACTAAATGTTGTGACTTTACAAATTATTTATGTGAACATAAAACATTGCCCTACTTTTCTGATTTTCGTTTTACTTTCTCCTCACTTTCAACTTTTATATTCTTGATTGCAGAACGATGTTTTGTCGGCACACTGATTATGCAGGGGCAGAGATAGCATGTGTTGGTTATTTTTTTGGGCCACTTTCAAGGATACTCACTTCTGGGTCAGACCAAGGCATCGTTGCTGAACACATCGTTCACGTGCTTGCCGTCGTTGCTGCTGCTGATTGGTCCTGCCTTATCCTTGAGGCCGCATTGCTAATAAAAGGAAATTCAAGAGGGAGGGAAGCACTTAGATCTCTGCCAGCAAATTACAAAATAATTAAAACTCAAAAAGCACCCCCACACCTGACGCCTGAAAAATTAATTAAAACAATTAACGGCAGCTGGCGCCCAACCCAAAATTATATATATTATTCCCAGGGATACACACCTCCTGTTTGGCCTGCCACTGCTTCATGGCCGATTTGTATTTCTCGAACTCATTGCACCAGTGCGAGTAGATTTTCTGGTAGTCCTGCTTCTGCGACGGCGGCGAGCATCTAGGTGGGGAAAAGTGAACAATAAGTTATTGACATTTTCACGGAAATTAGGCAGCCAAGGCTGGAGTTGATGGGTTCAGAGGGTTGCCAAGTTAGCTATTTTCCAGGAAGTTCAATTGAAATAATATATTTATCCAAAAAACATGTAAAACCGATGTGAATATTGATTATATAAAATAATTGATTAAAAATTTAAAACTGGTTAAACAAATACAAATACAAATTGTTTAATATTCACAGTAAATAATAAGAAATTTTAAAAATAGCTAGAAGCTCCCTCAAGGAGTCAAAAGTTGGCAACACTACGGAGTCCTTGTTACTTTTGTGGCTGACTCACCTGTGGGCATCCACGGTGACGCCGTAGCTGCAGAGCAGGGTGCCATCCAAGTAGCTGTCATACCGGCCGCCGTCGCCCTCGTTCACCGCCAGGAGCACCAGTCCGCCCTCGTTCGTCTCGATGTACTTGGTGGGCGTGTAGCGTACCTCGTAGCTGCCAGACAGAGATGGGAGACAGTGAGATAGAGATTGGCAAGAGATGGCCATAGAGATGGCTATGGAGATGGCTGCTGCGATATGGCGCAGGGGATTTTCCATTTTCTATTCGCATTCGCATTGGAAACGCACAATAAAAATCAATATAAACTGTGTGCTCGCGAGGCACACAGACTGCGACTCTTATTGGTGGAAAGTTGAAAGTTTTTCCATTACTTGGGCACCAGCGGCAGCGTAAACGCCAAAAAGCAGTCTCGGAGCACATTTTAAAGTGTCAATTTACCGCAGCATTGGCACGGCTAAGTGAGATGAAGCGCCCTACGCTTTCCCATTTACCCCAATATTATTCGCTTTCAATTTTCCCCAGAGATTTTCGATTCAGATAGATGAGGGGAGGGTGTGGGGTTTACCCAACAATAGTCACGCGGTTTTAAAGATATTTAATTTTAAATTTACTTATTAAAGGAGTCCAAGTAATAGATATTCCAGGATATTTTTAATGCCAAAAACCCCGCAACACTCACCGTCCCTTTTCCGTAGAGTGATGGTACCAGCGGGTCTGCTTCTTCCTCAGCACTTCCGGCATCTTGACGAAGCACGACAGATGCAGGGTCTGGCCGTAGGAGGAGGTTACCTTCTTCTTCAGCACACTCGTGTCGCAGATGCCCGACGTCTCGTTGGCCACATCCTGGAGCAGACCCAGCTGGTATGGTCGACAGGCCTTCACCTCCTTGTCCCAGCCGCAGTACGGATCCGCGACGCAGCGGAAGCAGCTGTCATAGCGACGGGCACACATGGCCATGTCGATCTGCTTAACCTGGTGATCGGTGGCCAGGTATAGGGAGCCCGTCTTGTGGCTCAAGGTCAGCTCCCGAATTGGCTCGTTGTGTGGCGAGGCCTCGAAGATGTCCACCAGGTTGGAGTGCCGCTGGCCATAGTGCATAAACTGCACTATCTTGTAGATGTGGCCCGAGGTTGTGGCCACAAAGTACACGAGGAACTCCTGGTTCAGCTTGTCGATCCGTATCCTGCGGGAAAAGCGTCACGGGAGGGGAGAGAAAAAAAGGGAAGAGAAAAAAAGCAGCGTCAGTGGCAAGCGCTTAACTGAAAACACATCCTGCGGCACTTTGTTCACAAGTTCCGGCCAAGACAAAACATTTTTCGCTGCCAGAACAACTGTCAGGACACAGAGCCAGCCCAGGAGTCTGGGCACTACACAAAAAATAACAGAGATAATTATGTTTAAGTGTATTTAGAAATCATTTAAGAGGATAATAAGCCCAAGACATCATGATTTAAGATATGAGCCTTAAAATGCTCTTGGAAATTAATCAAACAAAAATAGCATGGGATAAAAAAAATTATAAAACTCCTTTTACTAAATAATACATCCATTTTCTCTGTGTAAACCCCATATATAGTAGTCTAAACCCGACAAATGTCAACAAGGATACTCCCATGCGACTGGCTCCGTGCCAGGCCGGCAGACAACTGGCTGGCAGCGCTAATGAATACGGCTCTCACTTACTTGTCCACCACCAGCTTGGTGAGGATGACGTCCCGCTTGAAGAAGACCGGATTGCCAAATTCATGATCGACCGCCTTGTCCATTAGCGGATGTTTGCGGATGAAATTCAACACGGAGTCCGGCAGCGTGGCGGTGTCGTTGTGGCAAGTTCCCGGACGTGGCTCCGGCACTTTGGAGTTCAGCACGGGCAGCCAAGCGCTGTTTGAGGTGGCCTGCTCCTTGAATTTGCCTGGATGCGGAAAGGGAGGAGTAAAAGAAAAGGGGAGAGGGGAGGCGTCAGTGCGGAGTTGAGTGCCAGGGCAGTAGTGTGCTGCACTTAATTTATGTGTGTCAGTACGGTGCGAAGTGCTGATTTGTGGCACTCGCACACTCGCACTCGGTAAATATAAAATATACAATTTAAGAATCATTGCCACTGCTTCCATGTTTATGCCAAGTGGTTTCTGCATTAACATTTCATGAATAGCCGAGGTTAATGAATTATAACTAGCAGTTAAATCTGTTTCTATATTTCTGAAATTAAATATGATCTTAGACTTGTCTTAAATATTTCTAATTTAAATCTTTGTATCAAATTTTATTACGTTTATTGTAATTTTAAAAGGCTAAAGGCTCTGACACTAACTTAATTAAATTTTAAAGCTTCTGGTTATTATATTCACAGTCCTGTTCATAAACAGATTCCATGCCTGTCAAGGATAAAATACAATTTAAGAATCATAGCCTGGCCTTCGAGTGCGGCTGCATAATCGTTTGTTGCCATAATTAATTGCTGTGGCTTTCCACATTTATTTTTATTTTGTATTTTTCTTTTTTATCACACTCGCTGCTGTCTGTGCAACATGCCCGCAAACTTTTCGTAATGAATTTTAAGTGTATGCCAGATTTTTTTGCAGCTCTTTGCCCTGTGGCTCCGTCTGTGTGACTGCGTCTGTGTGTTGTCTGCCTGATTGTCTGCCTGTCAGTCTTGGCACCGCTCCACACACACAGACAAACTTTACGGTGTTAATGAACTTTCCAGGCCAACTTGGGTTAAAAAAGTGTTGGCCATGGTACTCATTACTTGTACTGAAAAGCCCCAAGTCCCCCTGAAGTTAAAGTGGCAGCTAGCGCACAAGAAATTCAAGGCGAATGTGAGACTGTTTCAATAAAAGGAGGAGGGATATGTGTGCCAGGAAGCCGGCTGAGGTCCTGTGGGTGGTGCCACCATCAATTCAATGCGCACCATTTAACGCTCAAATTCCAGGGACAAGGTCTCCACCTGTGCGCGTAATTTCATCCGCAGTCACTGGCGAAATGGGAATCCCCCTCAAGAATTATGGACAGTGCAATAAATCACACAAGCCGACATACTACCTACATATATACACTCGAAGGAAAAGGGTCTTGTTACTGCTTGGGATTCTAGGAATTAACTTGGTATAGATACTTTGGTGAAGTATAATTCTTTTTATACTGAAAGATTTCTTTCTTAAGTTAATTTTTAAAATATATTATAAAACAATTAATATATTTCTATTAACTTGGCACATTATAGGTTTCTTTAGCTTTTCATTTCTTATTTTTATAAAGTTTTCCTAAGTAAAAACTTACCATCAAAGGCCGCATTTATATCCCCTATATCGTAGCTACACACTGCCGATCCAATCAGTCCATTCGTATTCGTTGTAAACGTGGCATAGAACTTGGTATCATCCGTGGGCATCTTGTACACCGATTGTATCTCGTTGAAGTAGAAGGGAAACTCGCTGGAAATGCTGCAGTTCATGCGAGCCTTAAGATACGTGGCCCAATTCTGGCTGATCATATATTTGCCGCCACGATCGTTTTTGCAGACTCTGGCCACACGAGAATAAACAGCCTTGCCGCAGTTTATATACTCCACGGCATGTTCCCGGAAAAAGAAGTAGACAAACTCGCCGATCTCGAAAGAGCCAACAAAGTTGGGTTCTGAAAGGGTAAGGGAAGAAGGTGAGTCAGCTAATCAGCTTGTAAAAGTATCTTGAAAGACTTTAACAATTATTTTCTATAAGTTTTTCTTATTTTAAACATTTGTTACACATGGCTTTAACTTACTGTCCAGCAGCTTGGAGTCATATTTGACGGTTCTCTTGAAGTTGGCCTCCTTGCGTCCATTTGTCAGATTGTAGAGGTCCGAGCGAAATATGACGGAATCCGCTTTGGTGAACTCTGCATTCGTGCCGGCGTACTGCAGTTTGTTAGGGGAAGGCGGGCAACGGGTAACGGGGAACGGAAACAAGAACGAGAGACACAATCGTGGTTAGCAAGCGGCGACTGATGATAAGGCCCGAACATCACGCATACGCCCAGTAAGCCAAGGCACGCACGCACACAATTACGCACAAAGTGTACGCACGTGCCTCCCTCTCAGTGCGCCTCCCCTGGCTATGTATATGTGTGTGTGTGTGTATGCCCTGCTCTAATTTAATTTCAGCTGCTTTATTGCTGCCTTTTCTCCCATCTTTTCTGTCTTTAAAATTTTCCTGCCTGCGCGTCCCAAACACAACTTTGCCAACTTCCTTCCCAACCGTCTTTCTCCCGTGCCTTTACTTTTGTAATTTTATTACAATTGACATTTTTCTTTTTATTTGTGCCTTCCTTTATCCTTACTTTTATTCCACTTCCGCTTTCGGGTCTGAACTTACCAGGGCGGGCAAACCGAAGGGATTTCCGTTCTCCACATAGACGGCGGTTGAGTTGTCAGCGGGATCGTAGGGACACTTGCCAATGCCCAGGCCGATGCCGGGCACGTACTGGGATCTGGGTAAATGTGTTAAGTTTGCCTAAGGGTTGAAATGGGGTTTCGGGTGGGTGTATTGGGTGTTTTGGATGTTTTTGGATGTTGGGGGTTAAGGGGAATGATGTGGAAGCAAAACGAAAAGCGCATTAGTTGACTTTAATTTTGGCCGCCCGCTGGCTGAAATGAACTTCAAAACTTGACTGACATTCACAATTAGGCACATTGATGAAGTCCCTTTGGAAAATCCCCTATTTTGCCTTTTAAATTGGTAAAAAAGGGAAGAGTTTGGTTTACAGGAAAAGGATTTTTATAGGGACTTGATCATTACGTCTACGGAGTCTGAGTTTAACTTTATATTAAAAATTATATAAAACTTTAAGCTCTTAGAAAGTCAGTCAAGTTGCTTAAACTCAAATTTCTTAAAACAAAATGGAAAATATTCACTTTCAAATCAAGAAAGGCACTCTTAAATTCAATAAAAATGAATGAATATTTTCCTTTTAATTAGTTTTTTCCCTTTCACTTACATTTATAACATAATCCTTGGGATTGTGGGCGTTGGTCCCGCAAACATATAGCTTCTGGCCATTGAAGTTCATCGGTTGGATAACCCTTATGTGATTGCGGCACTCCACCTTCTTGTCAAGTGCCCCGAATCACAGCATTGCATTTCATTTGGTTTTTATTTTGTGTAATTGTAGTAAATGTTAGAAAATCAAAGGTTTAAGGAAATCAAAGAGTGGGTTGGTTTTTTTTGTGTGTGTAGTTCCGAAATTGCAAAATGGAAATGGAAAAGGGCGAGGCATGAGTTTGGTTCACAAATTCATTGGTTTTATCGATAGACAAAATTTTGCACATGCTTTGGAATGGTTACAAAGGTTAATGGCAATTATGTATGGGCAACTCACCTCCCGCTTGCCCTTGGACACACAGTTAAGGATATCCGAGCCGGTGGGCTCCAGGATGAGTACATCGCGCTGGAAGAATGAAAAATGGCATCGAGTTGAAATTTATGTTGGCCAAGTTTATTGAAACCGTGCTGGAATTCGATGCTGCGGATGCTCAACCGAAGGCACGCGCCAAAAAGAATTTTTCGGTAGACTCGCATGTCCTGGCAGTATTTTCGTTGGTTTTCTTTTATGTTTTTTATTATTGTTATTTGGTATGTTGCTCACGTTGGACATTTGTTTATTTAATTTGATTCGTTTTTCTGCCACTTCCTTTTTCTTTTTGGCGGCACTTGAATCGACAATGAATCTCCTTTTGGAGCTTGTCTTGCTGCAAATACTTTTGCCTAAGTGAAAACCACAAATCAATGAGGGGGCGAAAAAGCCATCGACTGACAATTTTTATGCCTGACATATAGACACAATATCCGGTGGCTGCGAGGATGCACTTTCCACTTTTATTTCCACTTGCCTAAAGTGTCAGTCCAAAGGCACCGGGCAACTCTAAGTGCTGCTGCCTTCAAATGGAATTCCTTTTGGCCGTTTGCCGTCCTCCGCCCGCCCAGCAGTCAGCACAAATAATTGCTGTTAAAAGCATTTGCTACGTCTCAGGAGGTGGCGATAGTGCACTGGGCTGCCGCCTTGCAAGGACGCAAGGACGACAAAAAAAAAAAAAGTGGCGGAAAACGGTTGAACGGACAGGGGCGGATATTGATAGTTGAAGATGGAATCATTTAAGTGCAATTGGTGGCTGTCAGTGACAAGTTGGTCACTCACAAATGCAGCAGAGGCTTAAGGATTTTCCTATTCCTATTTTCCTAAGCCATGAATAATATTCAAGGAAAATGGAACTTAATCAGGCAAAAGCTGTAATCAAAAAGGCATCAAAATTAGGTCAAGAGACCGCAAATCAGAGTCTCTCAACCTATAAACTGTATTTATTATTTAAATCTCTTAAAGTGCGAATAATTCTGTTAAGATAATACCACTATATCTTACCTCGCAAATCGATTGGCTGATGTTGCGCAGATTGAGCCGAAAGATGCGATCCCTGGGGGAGAAAAGGCAAAGGAGACAAAGAAATGAATTAGCATGGTAAAGAGGAAAACTTTGTCAGCCCCCGACACTCGAGTTAATCCCGAACTCGTGCCACCTCATGCGATAAGTTAATGCCGCACCAGTTGCCAGTTGCCAGCTGTCTGGGCCCCCGGTAAGCTCAAGCTCATTGACATTTTCCTCCTGCTTTTCTTTTATATGTTTTCGGGTTGAAAAATTGTTGTCGCGCACACAAACACACACCTGCTGTGCGGAACTGTCAGGCCTGCCAGCGTACTTATTGCAGTCAGTGTGCGCCCTGATTGATTGATATGTCGAATGTGGCAATATTGCCAGGCAAACGCAGGCGGCTTTAAGCGCCGCCATCCGAACACTCGAAACTTTTGCGGCGCCGCGGAAAACAAAAGGAAAATGCAAAGGGGCAGTGGCACTGGCAGTGTGTTTTATGTAGTTCCTGACACTGCCGAGTTTTTTAGGGGCTCTCCCCCGTCAACCCGAAGACCATTAATCTTCATTTCCCTGCCGGGGCGCTCTCTAGGAGCAGCCCCCACGGCAATCGCTGACGAGAGTCGCCAGCTGTGGTTGGTGGATCGCCCGGGTTGCCCGGCTTTCGGTGGTTCCGTGGGTCTCCTCCACGAGTCAAGTGGTAATTTTGGTTACTGTGTTTGCCCGCTCTTAGGCGACCAATCTCCTCGTCAGTGTGCTCCTGGGCCTGCCTTCCTTCGCCCCTCCTAAAAACCGCAAACTGTGAAAATGTGGCCGTGTTCAACTTGCCACAGACAAATGAGCAGCGGCATGCTCTGCCGGTGGTGGCATTAATTCATAATTATGTATGCCGACAGTGTGGCTAGGACCCTTGGAAAAATGAAATATGCAGTCCCAAATGCGTTCGGGTTTGCCAAGTTGGGACGACCCCAGACTTTCCGGTGTCCCAAAACGGAACTTTCTAATTGCCGGCAGCCGGAAAAGGAAGTTTACCGAAAATTATAGGAATTTTTCTACATTAAAAGGGGGGGTGCAGTGTGCCTTTAAATACATATTTAAGTCTGTTAATAGTTGATTGTATCAATAATTCAAAGGTTTATTTGAAAGTTAAATGTATTTGTGGGAGAGGCTACCCCTTACCCTATTTCTAAATACTTATACGACCCGTGACCCGTTCTCTAATACTTACATAGCGCCCACATAGAGTGCATTATTGCGCTCATCCATGTAGAAGGTCTTGTAGTGCAGCGGGCCACAGCTGAAGTCCTTGACATGATCTGCAAGTAGACAAAACAGGCACAAGATTGAGTATACGCCGCATTGTACATTGATTAGCCAAGGCTCTGGCAGTTAATTAAAGCCTAATGAAACTGTCAGCAGCAGTTAGTCAACAGAAAACAACAACAAAAAACCAAATGAACTAATTAAACTATTATAATTTCTGGGCAACAACAAGGAGAAAGTTAATTTATGGGGGGCCAGAATCCAAGGGCCGAAAAGTGAATACAATACAGCCAAAGGACCGACCAGCTCCAGGGCCATGTCCTTGCACATTTGACACTGACAGTGTCACGTACTCCTGCCAGCAATGTCACGTGCTCAAGGCCCGAGTCCGGGAACCCAAAGTCAAGTCGCAAAAAGTTGCACCGCTGTCAATGTCATTAACAAAAGATTGAGGCATTTAGCTGAAATTTTTACGACATTAAGTTGTCAACTAATTTGGCACAATTAGTAAGACAACAACAACAAAAACAGGAGCAGGAACACAAACAAGCCCAAAAACACACACACAAACACACACACAGAGAGGACAAAGGACAGTGGCTGGACAACTTTTTATTTTTTGTGCCAAAGCCTGAGCAAATCCTTTGATGACCGCGCTAAGAGTCATTTTTGTGTTGACTTGGCCAGCTCCTTTTGTCCCGGCCAATGGACATTCGACAGTGGCAACCCCTAATGGCCGGGAAGACAACAAGAATAGCTGTTACAGAAGAGATTTCCATAATAATGCATAATGAGTGATAGATACGAAACTGTTTTCCTGGCCTCATGCAAATTAGCCTCTCCTTCTGACTAAGACTCTTTTAACGATATTGACCCCGAAATATGGCAGGAGTTGGGAATTGTTTTTATGGGGGTTACTTTCTATTATTTTATTACTTAAATTGTATTAGTAATTGTTTATCTCCAACATAGATATTATAAAGAGGCTTTGAAAGGGGTATTGTCAAAATTGTTTTTATCTTTAAATAATTTCAAAAAAAAACACATACAGAAACATTTAAAAGTTGCAGATGAACCAAATTTATGTTAGTGTCCTTGTACTCTTAACACCAGCAAAATGAGTTTCTTTAGGACCCTCAACTGGGGATTTAACCGACTGACAACCATGGCCAAGACACCTCAAAGGAAGAGCGAGCCCAGTCTGGAGCAGCACCAACAACGCCAAAGCTCTACACATGACACAATTCGAATGCCGCTGGATATTGTTTTCTCAGCCAAGCACAATAAGGTAGACAAAATTCTATATATCCTTGGAGAAATCCTAATCCTTTTCCTTAAAGGCCCTGGCCTTTACTTTGGAAGAACGTCAGCGGTTGAACATCCATGGCCTTCTGCCCGCCTCCGTCCGCTCGTGTCGGGATCAGATGTACGCCATCGAGACCAACTTCCATTCGTTTAAGACAAACGTGGAGAAATATCGCTACTTGAGGACCATGCGACAAAGCAACGAGCGGATGTACTTCCAGTTTGTGTGCGATCACATAGCCATGGTCCTGCCCATTATATACACACCCACAGTGGGCGTGGCCTGCACTCTCTACGGCATGCTGTACCGGGAAATAACTGGCTTGTATATAACCAAGCACGATCGTGGCCATATGAAGCAAGTCCTTTCAAATTGGCCGAAATGTAAGGAAATTTGGGCCATCTGCGTGACCGATGGCGAACGTATCCTGGGCCTGGGCGATCTTGGTGCCAATGGAATGGGCATAGCCATTGGGAAAATGGACCTGTACACAGCCTTGGCCTGCATTCCACCGTGTAAACTAATGCCCATTTGCTTGGATGTGGGCACCGAGAATCCCGTACTCCACGAGGATCCCCTCTATATTGGACTGCGTGAAAAGCGGCTAAAGGGGCAGGAGTACGATGACTTCATCGACGAGTTCATGCAGTCGGTGGTAGAGACCTTCGGCCAACGGACCCTCATCCACTTCGAGGATTTTTCCACACCCAATGCCTTTAAGTTCTTGAAAAAGTATCGGAATAGCTATTGCGCCTTCAATGACGACATCCAGGGCACGGCAGCTGTGGGCGTGGCCGGACTGCTTGGCATCCAGCGAATAACAAAGAAGCCACTGGAGGAGCACGTCATCTTATTCGTGGGAGCAGGCAGCGCCGCCATGGGTATATGTGGTTTGCTCAAGAAGGAGCTGATGTCCCGGGGGCTTAGCGAACAGGAGATCACAAAGAATATATACATCTGCGACCAAGAAGGCCTGATAACCAAGGAGAGAAAGAACGTGACGGATGATATTAAGCCGTTCGCCAAGGATATGCAGCCAATAAAGTCCCTGGAGGAGGTGGTGGACAAGTTCAAGCCCTCGATAATAATGGGTGCCACCTCGGCGGCCGGAATTTTCACCGAAAAAATCATAAGAAGTATGGCCGCGAACCACGAGCGTCCGGGCATCTTTGCCTTTTCCAATCCCACCAACAAGTCGGAGTGCACTGCCGAACAGGCCTACAAATTCTCGGAGGTATTTACATTATGGTTAAAAATTAATTAATTATTTCTATATATATCTTAGGGTCGCGCCATTTATTCAGCGGGTTCACCTTTTCCGCCGGTGGAGTTCAATGGCAAACGCCTTACTCCCGGTCAGGCCAACAACTGCCTTGCTTTTCCCGGTGTGGTCTTGGGAGTCCTCACAGCCTTGCCCCGTACAATTCCCGACGAGATCTATTTGGTTGCCGCCCACGAGCTATCCAAGTTCCCCTCGGACAAGGACCTGGAGAATGGAAATATCTACCCGATGGTGGAGCAGGCCAAGGATGTGGCCTGCAAAATTGCCTATGAGGTGGCCAAGTATATATTTGATAAAGGTAAAAACAAAATACTACACTTGAGAGTTTAAATCTACATCCTTTATCCTAAAGGTCTATCGCAAACATCTCCGCCGCCCAAGGATCTCTGCGAATTATTGCTAAGTAACACTTATGAACTGGAGCATGGCAGCTCTCTGGCCGAGACTTGGTCATATCCTAATGTAAAGCCAAATCCCAGTCCTGACGAGCAAAAGAAGAAGCTTCCAGAGAAGAAAAAGTAGGCCACTCTCAGAATGTGAAATTGTTTTTTGGTTTTCTATTTTTTAAAATTCGTACGTACAAATTTCTAATTAAAAAAAAATCCAACAAAATTATTACTTTTATCGAACTTTCGAAATTGTTTACGTTGTCATAATTACAATGGTCATCAAGGGCTTGACATGTATGGGTTCTCTGTTGAGAACTTTTCGGCGTCCTTCCTCAAGGCCGCTGCTCCTTTTCCGCCGGGGAATCAGCTATTATGATGACCTGGATCACATAACGCGGCCCGACTGGCGAATTATAACGGATGGCAGACGAAATAAGGTGCGGTACTCTTCACTAAGCTCCAAAAAGTAAAGTTATGAGGAAAGCCATAGGCTTTCCCTGAATAAATTATTTAAAATTCTAAAACATAATGCATTGCATGCTTAGTAATTATCTAAAACATTATATTATAGCTGCTTCAAATCCATATTTCAGGGCCTAGCTTTCACCATTGAGGAGCGACAGCGTCTGGGAATCCAAGGACTATTACCCTGCACAGTGCGTTCCATGGAAGACCAGATGCTGGCCATCGAGACGAACTTTTATGCACGGCCAGCCAACCTCAATAGGTACACATATCTGAGTTCCCTGCAATATAGGCACCGGCGAATCTACTATCGCTTTATCCGGGAGAACATCGAGCAGGTCCTGCCCATTGTTTATACACCCACGATGGGCGATGTGGTGACCACCTTTGGATTGAATTTCCAGATCGCCACCAGCCTGTATGTAAGCATCTTTGACAAGGGACATATCGTGGAGCTGTTGCACAACTGGACAGAACGAAATGTGCGAGCCATTTGTGTAACGGATGGCGGAAGGGTCTTGGGACTCGGCGACATGGGTGCCAATGGCATGGGTATTACCGTCGGGAAAATGGTCCTTTACACAGCCCTGGCCGGAGTTCCGCCCTCCCTACTGATGCCCGTTTGCCTGGACGTGGGCACGGATAATCAGGCCCTGCTCCAGGATCCACTCTATGTGGGCATGCGCATTCCCCGGGTACGAGGTCCCGAATATGACGAACTTGTCCAGGAGTTCATGGAGGCGGCGGTGGAGTGCTTTGGTCACGATACCTTCATCCACTTTGAGGACTTTTCCACGCCCGATGCTCTCAAGTTCCTAGAAAAGTATCAAGACAGCTATTGCTACTTCAACGACGATGTCCAGGGAACGGGTGCCACCGGAGTGGCGGGATTCCTAAACGTTGAACGGATCACTGGCCGCAAACTGGAGGATACCACATTTCTATTTGCGGGCGCTGGGAGCGCCTCTTTGGGCATTGCCAACATGCTAGCGACTGAGTTGGAGGAGCGAGGTGTGCCGGCCGATGAGGTGGCAAAGAATATATTCCTGCAGGATCATATTGGCCTGTTCACCTGCGATAGAACCGATGGGGGCGAGCCGGTCAAACGTTTCCTCAAGCCCATAGAGGGCTCCGAGGATCTACTAGCCACAATCCAGAGACTGAAGCCATCGATACTTGTGGGAGCGACAGGTCATGCTTCCTTATTTACCGAGGAAATCCTCAAGACGATGGCCAAGAACCACAAGCTTCCGGCGGTATTTGCCCTCTCGAATCCAACTGCCTACTCGGAGTGTACAGCGGAGCAGGCCTATTGCCATACAGAGGTTCGTTTTGGGATGTAAAAGCTAAGCTTCATCTTATATTTATACAACTATTTTTAGGGCCGTGTTCTGTTTTGTTCCGGATCACCGTTTCCGCCGGTGGTGATAAACGGAAAACGATATTCGCCTTCCCAGGCTAATAATTGCTTAACATTTCCCGGCATTGCGCTGGGCGCCATTAGTTCGTCGGCCCAGACTTTGCCCAATTCCATATATCCTGTGGTGGCACGCACACTGGCCGACTGCGTCTCCCAGGAGCGACTGGATGCTGGTGCACTGTATCCACCCATCAAGGATGCCCATGAGGTGGCTCTGAAAGTGGGAGCGGCGGTGGCACAATTTGTATTTGATAATGGTAAGAATTGATCATTTTTAACCATCCTGTTAACTCTTTTGTTGACCAATTTTTCCAGATCTTTCGAATATTAACCCCAAGCCCGAGGATGTTAGTGAGTTTGTACAGAGAAATTTGTACAAAATGGAGTACCGAAGCTCGTTGATTAGTACATATGACTATCCAGAAACGTTGCCCATGCCAAAGAAAGAAACCAAGAAGGAGGCATAAACTTGGCCGGACTCCTGACCTGCTTTTCTAGTGACCAGAAAGGACCTTGTGTAATTAGTTGCAAACACAGCATGCACACACACACACAACAAAACCATGCCACAGGAGCAGCGAAGGCACGATAAATGCCCGACATTTTAACGTTATTATTGTCCTGTCAACGCAAAGCCAGTTGACATGCTCGTGTGCCAGGACATTGTGTGCCATGTCCGTGTGTGTGTGTGTGTGTATCTTGCTGATTTGCATATAAAATAGGACGAAATGTCTGCTCACCAAAAATGTCAATCAATTGCTTTGCCTTCTTTCCTCTCCTTTTTTTTTACAATTTTCCTTTTTTAAGCGAAGAGAAGCGACGAGAGAGACGAGGACGTGCATACATTAAAAAGCAATTGGTGTTAAAAGAGCAGTCAGGCGGCAGTCGCACGTTGTCTGCCTGTCTATCAGTTTGGCATTGGCATGTGCTCCTGCTCCTCGGTTTTCCCTACGAGAGGAAAGCGGGAAACTTGCCTTGCCGCCAAGGAAAGCGGGCAAAAATGGAAGCAACAGAAATGCGAAATCATTTCCCTCGACTGACAGCTGTCAAAATATTTGCTCTCTGTCGATGGCTGCGTGGCTTCTGCCGCTGCGCTTGTCCTTGTCCCCTGGAAATTTCATTTTAATATTCATTACTTCACACTTAACACAGACACACACACAAAAATTCATTGGTGACCACAATCGGTCCTCGAATCGCATCGAATCGCATCGATTTCCCCGAAATAGGGAAGAACTTAAAGTGCCAGCGGCTAAAGATCCTGAGGCCGCTCGCTTTCGTTACGGTTAGCCTGGCTTATGGAATTTAATTGGCCATAAAAATGTATGCGGCTTGTTGAACGTGGCAAGCTGTGCCCGTAAATCGTAAATTTCCCTCTTGGCATAAGGTGGGGGCAGTTTCCGCATCGATTTACGCCCCACGATAGGGCTCTAAATTTAAATGCCAGCGGCAAAGGTTAAGGGTTTCTTTTTTTCGCTTTTTTTGTTTTGTCTGTTCTGGGATAAAGATTATATGATGCGTCAGCATATAAATTATAGGCCAGATAAACCAGATAAAAGGCAGCTAAACAAAGTCAGTCCGCGCAGCAAAGTGGGGTGAACTTGAGTTGTTCTTTCATTTTACGTTTATACCCGCCCATAAAAGTTGCAGAAAAGACAGATGACTCTTGGAGTAAACATTGAATTATTTTGTTTGCAAATAATTAGGTTTTAAGGCTACAAACATAGTGCGCGCTGAGACGAAGCTAAAAATGAAGACGAAGCTGAAGACGAAAAACAGTGCAGAACAATTCATATGAATTCGCTCGCCCGCAAACATAGTGCGCGCTTAGACGAAGACGAAGATGAAGACGAAACGCAAGCGATCAGCTTCAAACGGAGCAGTACTGTTTTTAAAGACCAATCGCTTGCTATTTTGAGTTGTTCTTCTTCTTTTTTTTACATTTTAGGGGAAAAACTGGAATTTTTAGGGGAAAATTTAACTTTTTGAGATAGGGGAAGAGCCAAATTTTCATTTGGCAACACTGCAATTTACTTGTGACTTGCGATTTTCCTGAAGCACATGTTTTGTATAAATGTCTATAATAAATGATGAATTAATTGCAGCCGTTTTTAAAAAACAATGTTTATGGGACCAGCAGAATAAACTATACTACAATAGGCATATTGTGGACCAGAATTGGAATGATATTTCAAAGGAATTGGATGTTGATGAGAAATCCATAGCGACTAACATCACAAAATCTCAACAAATTCGTCTTCCACTATGCAACCTATTAGCTTACTCGCATCGCAAGCAATTCGTCTTCAGCTTCGTCTTAATTTTCAGCTTCGTCTCAGCGTGCACTATGTTTGTAGCCTAAAAGGCATTCGACGAGGCATTACACAAATATAGTAAGACTTGTAAGGTGATTTAGATTTATAATTGAAATTAAATTTGCTTTAGTTTTTTTTTCCCTTGAAACTTAATTGTTAATTTCGTTTACTTGGCGGATATTTGCATTGGCTTTCGGTTCCCCCTAATCCCCAGTGTTATCAATGTGGCCAAAGTCTAAGCCTCAAATGGGTCAAAGTTGGGGGCCAAAGCTCACTTGACTGTGCTCAGTCGATAAGTAGCCCCAATAAACACAAAAGTCTACTCTCGGCCTAGCCTCTGTTGCTCTTCGCCGACCGCTACTTCATCTTTTTGAAGATTTTCATTTATCTGCTGGCCAAGATAAAACAGGCAGGCAGGCAGGCTACAAGGCTGGCTAGCAGGCAGGGCCAACGAAAAAATAAGGCAGAAAGCAAGCCAAAAAGAAAGCGGCACTTAAATCCATTTAAGCGAATTTTTCAAGCATTAAATTTGCGTTTACGTTACGTATACTTAACTTCCAATGGCAACGGCAGCTGCGGATGGCGGGAAGTTGAGAGGAAAATGAGGCGGGCAAGGCAACAGCAGGAGCTGGAGAAAAACTCTGAGGCTGGCAGCAGGTAAATGAAAAATTTGCCAGCTTTTTTTCGTGGCCCGGGATCCAAATGTATTTTGCATCATTTGTCTTAGCCGGGCCAAGGATCTTGCTCTCTGCGTATGTACTATACATCCCTCCCCGTACCCTATCTGGCGCAAAACACCTGCCTTCGTCTTCTGCGTCTCCTTCGCATATGGTCACAGTTTTCGGTCCGACTTTTGTTTCACACTCTCCTCTGCCAGGGAGCATACACATAGTAAGTAGTACATGTGAGAATGGTGGCCTTTTTCCCCATAGTCAACAGTTTTGTTTTCCTGCGTCTGCTGCCATTGTTGTGCTTTGCGGCCATGTAAATGCCTTGCCACGCCCCATCTACCCACAGCCGTGGCTGTTGCTGTTGTTGTTATTGTGAAGCATTTCTCCTTATCTCCACTTTGCATGCCGCACACTGTTTTTCCCTCCTTCCGCAGGGGCTTTCCTTTGGTTTTTCTTTCACTTTTTTTTTCCAGACGAACTGAGTCAGCACTTAATTTTTATTTGATTCTGTCTCAGTTGCGTTGCGGTTGCTTGACTCGACTTCACTCCACTCCACTCCACTTCACTTCACCGTAGATTGAAGCCGAGTGGCAGAGAGTGCGTAATTTTTTATGGCGTTAATTTAACAATGATTGGCTTTTCAACACAGCCAAAGGCAAGAGAACCTGCAATGTCAGTTTTTATTAAGACAAATGAAATGAGAAACATTCCTCGGCTGGCAGTTCAACTCCAAGATGTCCAAGCCGAAGAGAAAAGGAGATTTGTTTATCGATTTTCGAGCTCTTGTTGTGGATTAAAAAATATATATTAAAGAATCCTGAGTTCACTTTATTTTCTAAGCAAATTTTTCTTTTGGTGCAATGGCTAGTTTTCCGGATTGCGGAATGTAAAGCCCGGGTTTGGGGCCATGCATCAAGCTTATCTCGCTCCCTGCAGCCGTTACTGTCGCACAAATCTCGAAGCCATTTGCCAATGTCCTGGGCCACCTGCATGCCCGTTACATATAAATATGTGTTCGATATTTAACAGCTTCCAGTCGAATGCGCCTGGCAAAAGGGACAAAAAGGATGACGGCAATGGATGAGAAGTTGCGACGGGACGAGTTGGCGCTGCAGACGAGACATATGTATGCAAAGTGAACTGCGGCGGATGTTGGCCAAGCTTAAATTTGGCTCTGGCTTTGGGGCAAGTTTGCTCAGGGAGGCTCGTCTGTGGGCCAAGTACAAATAAGAGTTACAGGGAGAGAAACTGTTGAGTATTTAAGAAGTAGGTAAATGTTGTTTAGAATTTTCTTGTTATTCAAACTAGATGCTCACAGATATAAAAACATTGTTAACCCTAGACGGTCATGCTTATTTTTCCTACGTTAAGGTTATGCTTCGTCGAATCGACGACGCCAATTTTAAAATAAGTATAATTGTTAAAAAACAAACAAATATTGTAAAAAAAAATTTTACATCGTTTAATTCAACATTTTAACTGTTCAAAATTAGAAATATTAATTCATTCTCATATTAAGAATATACTTAAAAACTAAAAATAAAAAACGACCTTTTTTCCATTTTTCGATCTTTTGTGATTTTGCGTCGTCGAATCGACGAAGCATGACCGTCTAGGGTTAAATTAAGTGGTGAAGATTTAAAACATTTTGAGATTTAAAAACAATTAATTTGGGTACCCAAAAGTATGCAACAATAAATATTGTGTGGTCCTTAAGCGAAATAAAATCTTCTAAGGACACTTTAAAAGAACTTTCTTCTCTAAATCCTTTAAAAATAAAATTCCAAATTAACATATTTCAAGTTCAGTGTATCGCTTTCTTGTTAACTCTAAGAAAACAAACAAAGTTCCTTTTAAAATGCAACTCTTGCTATATGAATTCGATATTGTAATGACGTTTTTCCGCGTGCACTGTAAAAATCCAATAAGGTAAACGGCAAACAGGCCCTGGGATGGGCGGTGTGAGTGTGTCGTGCATGTAAGCACCTGGCATTTGTGTTGAGCACGTTCGTACCTTATGTGGGATTTAGTTTAGACTTCATTTTACTGCGCTGCGCTTTTGGTTTCATTCCGCCTGTCTCACACTGCCCATTTTCCTCGCCCTTCCCAGCTTTTCCCCCACTTTTCCCTGCTCTGCTGTGCTCCTCTTTATGCCAGTTTATGATGGCCTGGCTGTGCCGTAAAAAAGCGAGAAAGAAATTGGGTAGAATACCGAGAATACGGAGTACGCGGCGACGACACAGAAATGTATAGAAAAAATAAAGCCATAGACATGGCTGGCACCGGCACTTGAGTCCCTGCTGCTGCTGCTGCTGCAGCAGGCCGGCGGCACACCCAGGAGGTCGTAGAAGCTAGACAATGCTGTAATCTAGAAACACAAACGTGCAATTCTCTGCTCACTGTAAATGTGGTTCCCCGCTCGGCGACACACATACCGAGTCCCTGTATGTTTGCCCACACACACACACACACTCTTGACACGAAATGGCGTGGGAATATATTACAAGTTGGTTTACAAGGGAAGTATGTCAGTGGCTGTCCCAGGAACTAGTAAGAAACAGAAAAGAATCCAACTTAAAGCACTCAACGAGCTGCACAACTTTTTTTAAAGCGAAATCCCAGGGAGATCCAGCTTGATCCTTGAGACTGGTCAAAAATTGAGGCAGCATAATTCAGCGGATGGGTTTTACGACTTCATCGGAAGCTGAAGCTGGAGCTGAGTTTGCTTGCTGCAATGGCGAGAGGAAACATTAGCAAGTCTAGACA